TCCAGAGTATCCTGTTACATTTGTTTTCAGAAGGCTTTTATGCAACAACTGCTATGTTTGGCTTGTATTCACCAACAAAATAACTGGCAAAGCTAGCCACCTTTGGCCACCGTTGGCCACCGGTGGCAATGTGCTTACTGGGATAGTATTAAATCTTTGTGTATGGAGAATGTTTCTGAAGTGACAATCAAAGCACGGTTGTCGTGGTGCTCTCACCACGAAAGCAGACTCCAGGCTCAAAAGAGATCTCATCTGAGTCGCTGGAAACAACTCCAGATTCGCAAACTCATTACCAGTGTTAACCACGAAGGACCTAACTTGACGTCACATTTAATCCCACAAGCTAACTGGAAGTTTGAATGGCTGTGGACTTGTGGAATTCAGGGTGGTTACGGGAAGGCATCACCGAAAAGATGATGGCAAATACTGCAGTAACTGAAGTGATATTAAACCAAAAATGAAACCTGGTAACATCAGAAAGATTTTATTGTATAGAACACTATTTCTAGGAAAGCAATGAACGTATTGCAACCTGTTGGTCCACAGTTATCAGAAAACATACGTTTTCGCCAAACTAGATTACCCATACTGGTTATTGAGTTGGTGGCAGTTGATCTGTTTGGCGAGCTTGACGGGCAGAAAACTGCCACTTGCTCAACATCCAATTATCCCAGGTCAGCTACCAAGATTTAGATGCGTTGCCGTACTTGCCTGTATTGCACAATTCAACTGCTAACCAACCCTGCTTCGAATATGACAACAAATCTAGGCAAACAACATAGGGTATTTACTTCTCACAAGCCATCGGGATGCAGTGAGATATAATATAGAACAATAAACAAAATTGGCTAGTCAATTACTGAGTGCAAGAACATCGTACATGAATGGGATTGACAGGTAATCAGCTCGAATTTAGTTTGAACCAAAGAAAGGTACATTGAATTGGAGCAGTGAGCGCCAACTACACTGTATCATAAGTTTCAAACAGAAAACGTATGGTCACTTTTTTGCTGTCTATGGATCGCCAAGATATAATTCACGACTGTATGATATTAGGATTCCGTAGGTTGAGCGTCGGTTACCTTCGTAACCGTGGTTTCCACCGTTCGCTCCTGAAAGTTGTTGCAATTAGTTAGTGAAGATAAAATGAAGACCACATCGAGAAGTGAAACACATTGTTAAGCCTACAAACAGATTTCCGGACAAAAATTAAGACTCACTTTGTGTTACACTTGATGCGAAATTAAGATCTTAGGGATGGATCCCGAAAGGCTCTTGTTCTTTCATTTTCGACGAGGTTGATTAGGTTGGTAGCTGATTAGGTTGGCCAGTTGGTAGTTGTTCTGCTCATTGAGCAAACAAGGGTGTTCATGAAGTAAGCCCCAATATAGACGAAAGGCCTTTTGTGATTGGGCGTTTTGGGGTGCAACCAGCTAAATTTCATTTAGATTTCAGTAGAATCCCAAGGACATGGCTTGGTTTCACGTGGATCGATGAGTAATCACGTTAACATACTAAGGCTGTGGCTAAGTTAACATTAGCCCAAACCAAGGATCACACCTTATGTAAACTTGCGTGGTCCCGAAATAAACAGCCCGATAATAACCAGATGGCTCCATGATCTTCCTCGTGTGATAGCAGCGTGAGTCTCAAAGAGGACAACTTCATTATCCACAATATGGACTCAAAGCTGATTTCAGCTAACTTCAGAACCCAAGCTTACTGTACATGACTCAATTGCATCGTATCGGGGTACCGTGATTCAAGCTGCAAGTTTGCACGCAATCTAGCATGAAATGTCTGGCGTACTTCTGCGTTGTTTTTACTGACAATCGGGCTGCAAAGCGGTAGAGCAACCATAGGTTGTAGTGATCCTGTTTCGGTGATTAAACGCCACCTATGACCTTGTTGGGAATGAAGAGGTTTTTACAGGAAGAGGCCCTCAACCTTGATCTCAGTACCCTATAATAAAGTGTCTTCTGATTAATGCTGTTTGCAAGCGTGTTATGCGAGTGGAGTAGCCCAGTATTACACCATTAGTAGCGGTCTGTGTCTGGAGATGATTTGTGCGCATTGCCATTTGCTCGCGCTATCGCTTAGTGTGTTTTCTCAAGAAGAGCCGCCCAGAATTACAATACTTGTCTGTTTCTTGGTACAGTACACTATAATCATGTTCCACAGTAATTTAACATGGTAGAACTCCACAGATTTTCATAAGCACTATCGTACTACCCAAAAGAGTAAGCCTTTTTTTAACATCTTTCAGCAAGATGAGCGCAACATAAAATACCGCAAATTTCATTGTAATAGCATGACATAACATAGCACGGTATAGTATGGCAGAGGACAGTATAATGTGACATAATATGGCGTAGTATACCATAGCGTAGTGTAGAGTAATATCCTATCGTATAGTATTGCTAAACTATGCTATACTCTATTACATTGCTTAATGTAGTGGTGTATATTAAGGCATAATGTAATGCAGTATGACATAGAATAGTACAGATCGGCCCGGTGTCGGTAAACTAGACTACATTATCCCTTAAGCGTAGGACTGAACAGGATAACTATTCAGATTTTGGTTTCAACAGGAGAAAGACTCGTGGCTAGGATTTGTCTCGTGACATGTCGCTATAACGTAACATTCACGAAAATCACGAAAAATAACGGCTTTACCTTTGGTTTTGGAGGACAGCAGCATAGTAGGATTGGGAAACGTTTTTCCAGTTCCATGCGGAATTTCGGATGTCGGATTGCGTAAACAATCGGATTGTAGACGGCTGATGTTTTGGCAAATAAAACAGGCAACTCGGAACCGATGGGGCTGAGGTCATCCATTTTACCAAGCAGAACCATTAAGCAAACCACCGCATAGGGTGTCCAGGCCACCAGATAGAGTAACACCAGAATGATAGAAGTTTTTGCTGCCTCTACGTCAGCCTTTTTGTCCGCTGTAGAAGATTGCAAAGCGTGAACGATTAGCTGCTTTCTCAGGAATGAAGGTCTGCAAGGTTTCGCAGAATGGTTTGCGCGACAACCGAATCAATAAGGCCGGATTTAGCTGGAAAGGTTTTACTTCACACATTTAAATAACCATGCATTTTGATGACTAATGGACCAACGTAAGGTTCTGATATGTTTCCGTCCCCTTGGATTTGTGTGGTATTTCAATCAGTCCCTCAATATGGCAAGTAAATATCATATCGACTCATACAAAACACGAATTTAGAATGCTGAAAGTAATATCCACGATGGACGGGATCCGTTCCCCAGTTTGTATGTCACATAGGGTAAAATGACGTGCAGGATAAGCGGTTCCGCGTGGAGTTTTTGTTGTACTGGAAGCGCAACCTGACCGCCATCAAAACTTTTTTTCCCAGCGCATACTTAAAATTAGTAACACCGGCGGACGAACAAGGGGGGACGGAGCCGAAACCACTAATGTTCCCAACCGACTATCTCCAAGCGGTAACTTATGCATGGACAACCAAGCGTTTGCAGCGTATTCTGTTTGAGGTATCCACTTGCAGAGCAAATCTGGGACAAACATTTATCGATGACTAATGTTAACGTTAAACAAAGGCCACACAAGGTCACTTCTAGTATTGTTAGAGACTTGCCACACTAGGATGCCTAGAGTGCCAAATCATGTCATTTATGCACTCAACTGTTGTTCTCCTCTGGTAAGTGGAAGAATTATCAAAACGTCCAACTCATATGACGTCCATATGGGATTCTCTAGCCAGTCATGGTTTGACCTGTTTTGATCTGTATGACGATGTTCACAAGCTGGTGGCCCCATCGCAGATTTGGCTGCCCAATTTCTTCAGAGAGCTAAGATAAGTCTGATAAGCTTAATTTATCCACTAAAAAATCTAGAAACTGACTTCTCTGTTCGCCAATGACATACTACTTTAAGATTACCTGTCCAGAAAGAACTAGAGCCACCGCAATTACAGGTGGGACCAGATCCAACGACTTTCCCCAAGGCCAATGGGTCTAGTCAGCTGGATCAGCTGCCCAACATGAAGCTCCCGTCCGTCAAAATGGCAAACATAAGCCCGTTTTATCCATATTCACGCAGTACTGTTTTAGTTGAAGCCTCAAGTTTTGCGAAATTCATGTTTGTAGCTCAGCATAGCAGACTTGGAAAGCACTGAGAATTGTTACAGCATCACTTCAAATCGTAGCAGTAATCACCTCTGGGCTTTGGGCCAACATTACGCCACTGAAGAGGAATGTATTCCTTTTTCCAATGCTCTGTTGTGAACGATCATAATCACGAAAACTGATGATCATACCTCAGCTATGTGACTAATCGGCAAAAAAACAACAAAAAACCAACAAGACCCCTCGGGTTAGAAGTCACTCACTGGATTTCATCGATGTTGGGTTTTCAGCGTTTAGTTTTTGGGCCATCTTCATTAATTCTATCTCATTTCTTCTCACTGTTTTCACAATCTGGTAGTAACAGTAGCAAATGACCATCAAGGGCATCATGAATCCAAATATGTACATTCCAGCATTGAACAACATGTTTCCCAGATCCGTTGACAAGTAATCGAATGTGCATGAGGTATGGAATCCTTCTGGTATGTAGTAGCCTAAAATGGCAAAAAAGGCTAGTTCTAGAATGAAGAAAACCGAGCGAAATTAGTAAAATTCTGGATTAACTTCGCGTTTTTCCGGCTGTCACATTCGATACACTGACATGACAAATCGAGGGAGTCGTTATGGGTTCTCTTCTTGGTCCCTTGTTTAGTGACATATTTATGGACAAACTGGAACTTGGTGAACTGAAGGGAGAGATCAGACGTATTCAGTTCAATCGAAGGTATGTATATGATATTTTATGTTAGTATCAAATGGTTCCAAAACGGATGCTGTCCTGACCAACTTCAGTCGAGTACATCCCTCCATTCAGTTCACTTTTGAAACTGAAAGTGACAATTCTTGGACTTTAAATTAGTCAGACTTTCCGCGAATTCAATTCAGAGGTCTGTCTACAGAAAGCTTACGTGGACGGGACAGTGCACAAACTTCCTGAGTTTTGTGCCACTGAGGCGTAATCGAACTCTGATTCCCACTTTAACGAACAGAGCTAAATGTATTTGCTCTGCTGACACACTGGACTCTGAACTGCAGCACACTGCCAACGTGCTTCGAGTCAGTGGTTACCCGGAGAGATTTATAACCAAGACTATGTCCGATCGCTCCATCCAGCCGCTTATCACGGCCTCTGAAAAGAAGTCAATATGACTGAGTTTACTGTATAAAGGCGATCTGTCAGCGGACAGTCAACTGCCGCGTTTTCAATCCCTATAACGTGCGTTTATGACTACAACCCTGAGGTCTTGGTTTGCAACCAACCCTTTGCTCAACTTAAATCTCAAAGACAAGATGCCGGTCCAGAATATGGTTGTGTATTCTTTCTCTTGCTGTTGTGCAGCGGAGTATGTTGGGCACACGATACGGCTATTTTCTAAGAAACTACGTGAGCACATCTCTCACCGGATTACCATTAGACCCAACAGTTTGGCCAAAATCTCAATTGCGTCCCACCAAATTGACACTCGGCACGTGATCATTCCGAATGGGTCATTTCATGTTATTTATCGTGTCCCCAATACACTATTTATATCTATCTATCTATATATATCCAACGGCGTCGCTTGACTACAGCCGAAGCTATCGCTATACGTCTGCCGAACCCGGTATGTACTGTGAAAAACGTTTCGTACGAACGCTGAGTCTGCCTTGATCATGTGAAACGAATCAGCACGGCAAGTGACCCAACGGCTCTGTAGACTGTCTTACAGCATCCAAACGCAGACAACCAGTCGTTCGTGTCCCCACCTTTCAACGCAGACAACCAGTCGTTCGTGTCCCCATGTTTCGCATTTCACTAACCAATCTTTGCTGCGTATTTCATTGTTTGCTCCTATTTCAACCATTAGATATGGACTGACCTGATGACGAGATTCCGAAAACATGATGTTCGTCAGTGTGTTTTTATTCAGACAATGTTAGTTCATGTTGTGTTAGTTCATGACATGTTAGTTCAAGACAGCTGCTTTCAGTATGAATGATGAAACTGATTGCTTAGCGAAGGCATTTGTATGAGTTACACAAACTTTGGATGGCTTGATTCATTAGAATCGCACACAAAACATAGCAGAGGGTCAAAATGGCAAAGCGCAATTCCCACTAGCCAAATGTCCTGCATTAATTATGGAACGGAATTTGCCAGTCTGTGCTGAACCTACACTTTTCTGTTAATAAACAGAGTAAAACTGTGAAAAGAACACCTGAGGCGTACGTTGGAGGCTGAAAAAGCCTATCTACTTGAATATGTTCTTTTTTCATTATCAGCTTTCACGCTGCCTAAGCTGGTACTCTCTAACTGAGGTGTCTTCTACCTTACTAGCTCTTGACGTAACGAATTATCATTTCTACTTTAGTTTATCTGGCCTTGTAATCTGATGCGTTTGGCTGGTGGATTGGCGACCGAAATAATACATAGGCAAGCCTGAAGAGAAGAGAGTATACAGTGTGGTTCATGACGGACATTCAAAGACATTTGTTTAATGTGTCGATTCGCACCAACTAGTAGACTCTGACGGCGGTGTAAAACGGTTTGTATAATGTTTCGAAAGCTAGTCTGCTGAAATATAACAGACTCTCAGCTTCCTCATATGTAGGCGGATTATTAATTTGATTCCTCATTTGTTCACTTACTTGGAACAGGATATTTCAGGGCGCCTAAATTTCTTCATCCGTGTTCTTCGAGTCTTACAGACCTGGGCTTTATATCATGTCTTCACCGTCTTGGAGCCTGTAGTTCGTTTAACAGGTGAAAGAACACAGTCTGTTACCAATTTCCAAGTTCTCAAACTATTCTTGAACTATTTAAACCCACGATTTAACACCGAATATCGTATAAGTTTGGATAGCCCTCAGTATAAATTCGGTCTATCTAGCTTCTAGTAGAAAGGCGTGACCCGTTCGTTGACAGGTGAGTTAGTACACATACAACCTAAACTGCGTTATTTCTCCCGGGATAAAAAGCTTCTAGAGACCAGCACCATAAGATTAATAACATCAAAATAGGTATGATCGATGTCAGAAATACTCACGCTACTTCTTTATTCCTAAATGTTCTGATCTGGCTATGTCTGCAAACACTGTAAGCGAATGACAGGCTATTACGACAGTCGTCAAAATAAGTGCCTACTGACCCGTTCGCTAAGTGACCGGTAAAACACATTAGATGTAGTTTTCTAAAGCACAAAACAGACAGCAGTATTAAAATCAACTACTCACTAATTAAGTAACAAGTTTGTATTGAACTCAATAAATTCACTTTAGAGTTTGCCGGGAGATAAGGTGACCGATTCTTGATAATTTGATCAAACAGCTTTAGGTTTTTGTGGTTCAGAAGACCCATCCGCAATATGTAGTGAATGATTTTGACTGGTCTAGACTTGTTCTCACTAGAGTATGACTTATATTGTGTTTACTGTTGTTTTATTCCGGGATTCCACTTTCTATCCCATTCTTGCCTTTTTTGATCAAAATCATAATATAAAAAAGCTGAACCATAAAACAAAACATATTCGCCCATAGTATCCGGCGTGTAAATCCTGCTTTGTTCCTCTCATCAATATCACGTATTGCTTGTGGGTAGCACCCTGCTATCTCCTCCGTCGACTTATTTGTTGCAGACGATATATGAAATCTTCAAGGATAGGGAAAAATTTCTCTGGTTCCAGGTTGTCCAAAAGTAGAATACATTTTCCCAAAGACTAGTACCCCAGGACACCTTGAGTGTTAGAAACGAGACAACTCCGGTCAATTAGGCCCAAAGGATAAATTTAAATCTTGCGAATTAAGGCTTCTACCATTTCGAGGCCATTCACACCAAACATTTTCCTGTATGAATGATAAGCCCCTCAATTGTTAGAGGGAGTAGCACTAAGTCTAAAGGATCTGGAATGGCATAGGAAGGTCATATTAACACCCACGGCCGGCAGACTGCCTCTATTTTCATCTTGACTGCACGTCACCTTATCCAGTGTCTCACAACTTAAAGAACGTAAACCAGTACCGACCGTTTCACAAGCAGGACTACGCTGCAAGAGCATCAGTAAGTTTTCTCTTAAGCCCCTTCGAAATCATAAAGATATCGTCTACGAACGTTTTGTGACATTTTACCCTAATTAATCATCGTGATTAGGACAACGTTGCGGAGATTCTGCGCTTTATCAAGTGTTGAATCAATATGTCAAGAGAAAAACTGGCGTATAACAGTCCTTCAGACAATTTCCTACTAATGCACGTGAAGTGTTATGCGAAGTGTTACTTTGATGCCAGCGAACGAACTAGGTACTTCGTCGTATGAACCCCTTGATCTAACTGCGAATTGTTTTCCTCCACCGGCGGACTTTTGCAAGCCAATCCATTTTATTCCATTACCGCGTGGATCCATTATTGATGCAATAGTATTACGTTATCCTCGCGCGTAAAATTTTCCGTGGAAAATACGGAACCCGTGGAAGTCAGTATTTTTATCAAACCACTATGAGTCACTTGCAGTAAGACTGACGGTAGTTGTAAACTAACGTAGCTTCGATAAAATACTTCAGGATGTACAGCAATGGTTTTCGTTTATTTGAGTAAACGCGTCGTATCAGAGATGGACAGTCTTGGCAGCCGTCCAAGAGGAGACAAAGCAGTGTAACAAACGGTTTTGTGTGAATGTGGGAAAATCCACCCTGAGAAAATATGCCCCACAAGGGAAAGTCATCAGGTATCCTCATCAGAAGAGGCAACCTTGTGAGGAAACAGTCCACAAGAAAAATTGTTTTTGATTGACCTGCTTGCTGAAACACTTGGCTGCACTCGAGTGAAATGACTATATTAGGCAGAAGCATGTACTGCGCGCTACTTTCGCAAACTGGACGGTAAAGGTAACTTTATCAAATATTTCTAAAGTCTGTATATCCCACTAGGTATTTCTATCTAGGCGTATAGTCCATCCACACAAAAGTTCTCCATCTTCGTCTGACAGCGTGTAAACATTTGCGAACATAGCGAAAGCCGTGATTTTTAATGGATTCGTGCCACCATCTCAGTGATGTTTATAAGTTACTCAGTACAACATACAATATATGTAGAACAAGTAGGATCTCATGTTAAACAAATTTAATTGCATTGGTGTGAGTCAGATCAAGAGCTGGGCTGTTATTGTCTCTTCACAGTTAGTCAGTAGATTAGGCCATTTGTATCAAACTCACCAATTCCAAAGAAGGGTGGCAAGGACCAAAGCAAAGCCCAAATCCAACATATAGCCAACATCACAAAGGCACGTAAGTACGACATTCTGGTGAACGCCTGAATCGGTTGTGCTATGACAAAGTAACGATCCAAAGCGATCATAGCATTGGTGGTGAGAGAACCGAATCCAGCCACACCGCCAATGAATCCGTATAGTTGACAAGCTTGCGAAATAGATGGTTAGACAGAAAATCAAAATTACAATTAGCGGCAAAAGGTGTCAAAATCGATCGCGAACAGAATAAAACTGTAAACAAAAACAAAATACAATTTTTACCTGAGGGTTTAGTTGATGCTCTAAAATGAAAACCTGGTAATGGTGGGTGTTCGGGTATCACATTTTGCGAGGTCTATATCAAATACCCAGAATTTGAAGTAAAGTAAACAACACAGTAACGCCATACAATGGATGAGTAGTGCATTACTAAAATTATATATGTACAATGTAATTTGACTGATATATGTGAATATCATATGCAGCAATCTTATCCCCCACCTCTCCGAAGCGTCTTCCATTCGGTCGACGGATTTTCAGCAACCTTATGAGTAGTGCATTACAACTATACATGTTTCGCGATATCTCGAATATCGTAGCGACTAAAACATGAGGCGGCCTGGTGCAGCACATTCAGTTGCCTGAGAACATCACAAACGAGGGATTCAGCTTGGTTCCAGGTGAGTCTCTCGAAAAACCAAATTAGTTTGCAAATGAATGTACGACCGTATTACTTGTTTGATAAAAAATATCGCATGCGCACAAACTCCAAGAGTAGGGCATATCACCCTAATCAAGGTTTACTTGCCTAAGCACTCAAGATGTGCAAATTTACATCTTCTATCTCTTGATTCCTATCTGTCCACTGCAGAACGGAATGGCCTAACGATGGGCATGGTCAATGCTGCCATCTCCATCACGCAGTCTGGACACTGAACAGCAATCTTGATGGTTTAATGTGGTCCAAGTACTGTTCGGTAGAATGGAACAAGAAAACTGACTAACGTCAGTCAACAACTTAAAACTGGTTCATGGAGCCGGTGTGAGCCTGGAATTCAAGTCAGTAGCTTTTCTCGTTTAAAATTTTTTCTATGCAGAAATAATCATAACCACCATAATAATCAGCTAATTCTTTATGACTGACATTACTTCCAAGACTAATTCAGTTAAACTTCTCGTTTTTGATGAGGCTCAAGTGAGTTCAGGGCTTAAATTCTGCATCGTAGCATATTTGGAGCAATGTTCAGAGAAGTAGAATAAGGGATCACAGCCTTACTGTATACACCGGAAGCGGTAGCTACTCGAGTTACGCCTTTGTATGGTCCCAATTTGTTTTTTGTAGAACGCAAATAAAATCGTGGGCTTCATTTGCTGGTTGCATGTTGAAACGATGGTTTTAGAAATTCACACGGTCACCTAGTCACAGCCACGTAATCGAGGAACATAAAACTCATCCCAGGTTAAACAAATCTGATGCGCCTTCTGCATTCTTACGTCAGAAGCAGAACGGCTATTCTACCAACCGAATATCAAAGAAATCAGAAGTCGGGACAGTTAGACAGATGCCCTCATGATAGAACGTACCCAGTTGAACATTTCGAGCACCAATTCTCTAAGAACGGCAAGCAGATGAGGCTTGTGTTTGCTCGTTTCACACTACACTCAAGAGGTAAGCATGATAAAATGCTCAAGTGTTGGTACTTATACCTGGTTTCATCCAATGTGGAATGGTGAGTATGCAGTCCATCAGAAATTGTGTCTGCAAGTTGACAAGAGCCCGCAGCTATCAGATCGTGAAGGATGAACACAACAAAGCAGCAAGCAAGATGAACCAGGACTAGAACTTCCTCTTTGTGTGAATTAGGTCTTTCAAGAACAAAATGCCTACAAGAAACTTAAATTAAGTCCTCCGGCTTCCGGGTAGACCATGACAATCAATAATTAAGGTATTTAACGCCGAATAATCTGGAAGCTTTCGCCACCATTCGACGTCCAGAACTTGTGCACCCAACAGTCGTGTGAAACCGGCACTAAATGACCCAAACTCATAACCGTAACGGGACACATGGATGTTAATTTTTTTTGTACAGCGCGCGATGCTAGACATGCTCTCCTGCCAAATTAAATGCCTAGCCAAAATCCATCAGCCCGCACATGCTCCTATGTGTTTTTTCGATTAACCTGTCCACATCCCAGTAGGTTTTAAATTAAACACACCAAAAGAAAAGATCTGACCATGTCACCTATGATTTAGCTTATCAGCAGATTGTTAGAAGGCAAACTTTCCAAATAGTTGATTGATGTCAGAAAAGTTCAGTGATCAGCGCTTAAGCGCCTATGTTTGGAACACTTTATTTTACATCATTTCGACATTACTATGTATGAAAAAACTCCTTTTCAAAATGAACACCAATAAATGTGGAAGGAAAGAAGCGGGTTGTAAAGGGCAAATATAATGCGAAGGAGAAAAAAATTGAATGATCCTGAAAAGAAATTGCTGTAAGAATTTGGATATTTCTATCAAGTTTCGAAAGTTCTACGTTTAAAGATGGTCATACTAGATGGGTCACTGTCGCTCTTCCTACACCGGAGAAGTGGGAAAGTTACCAAAGCAATTTTGAACAAGATGAATCACTGAACGTTGGGTTGATGAAGTTTACTTTCAATAGCGTTGATTAAATCGATAGTTCTTGGATAATAAACGTTTGGCCATGCAACAGCACCATGGTAAATTAGGGAATGCATATGTTACTGAGAGGTTTCCTTGGATATTGACAAAGAGAGGTGCGAAATTCTTACAATAATTATTTTTTCCTGAGATATTACCTCACGTAGAGGACCTCTTTAGAATAGTCCCCTACGATGTGTTTTTGCATCGGAGTTTTCGCGATCCATATTGTGTACCAATTTGTTTGTCTGACTTTCGACTGCTTCAGTATATAACATTTTTAGTTACCTGTCTCTTTTTCAGTTTGATCTGCTTGCTCAGGATTCCAGAACTTCGCACTTATTTAGTGACCGTTTTCTTGACGAAGTTGAGGACTACAGGCTTGGACCACAGGCACACTACGAATGGTATCATTAGTCCATCTTTTCCCATACTGTTTATTTAAATCTATCGGAAACTGATAGTTTCGCTTAATGTGAGCTTGCTTTTCAAATATGTGAATTTCGAAATCTCCACAGCAATTGTCGCTAAGCCAGTGAATAGCCATGAATTTACGAGCAGATGTATGAAGAAATAAGGCGTCTACAAACTTATGTACGACCAGCTAATTTAACTTCAACAAGAAATGTTGTATGCACAGATATTTGCAATTCCACGACAACTACTCAAGAAGCGAGGTGGATTTTACCGCGGTGCATAATCGCAAATTATGGATCCGTTGGGTGAGCAGTATTTCCCTATCCTCAAGAAGAATGCAATAAAAAGAAAAAGGGTTAGTTTTCAAATCGCTCTTTAGCTGAGAAAAAATAACTACGAAAAAGTGAAGTTTTTATGTATCCTCGTTTGTATCCTGCCAAAAGGAAAAATACATGCGTAAGTGCACAGGGTGACAACACAATAAGACGAGATCACAGTAACCACTCGAATTACCACAAAGAGAGCGGTATTAAAACACCGTCTAGGTAAATTCAGGCACACTGCAGCCATTACAGGCGCACAGAGCCAAAAGCTCCAGAAAACATTTTGCAAACAGCTGTCTGAGGAATTCCACTTAAATATCTCCGAAGTCAAACAAACTTAGTAACGCGAAGAAAGGAGCTACGCGCTTAAAGGACACTTTTGAAACGACTATGAGGGTCCTGCGATACTCTGATGCAACAGTGGTCAACTGGCCTACAAACACGAGCACTATCAGAACCAAAGGATGCCTGTAGTAAGCTTACCACATCTATAAAATTCAGTGCAAGAACTGCAACAAACACCATGTGGGACCAACGGGTTGGAAGTCACTAACCAGAATATGTGAACATCAATTTGCTACCAGAAGACGACCAATTCGAATTTGTCTACCTATATGACCATGAGGAACACAAATTCATTTGGGTCAAATAAGAACAAAGAACTTATGGAAGCATTTTTTTCTCAGCTGAAACAACTCCATATAATCAGTGGTTGTAGCTTAGTTGTTTCTATTCTGGTACCAGCTTCTTAGAAAGACGGTTGGTAGTTTTCCCATGTTCCAAATTTTCATAGCTTATGACCGAAGTGAAAAATGTTAAAAATACACTAATTTAATTCAGTAAAGCCACTCAGTCCTTCTGCAGCCTGGTCTCTTTCCACTTGACGGGGAGCTAGCTCCGTCACTATAAGTATGTACATAAAATTGAGATACCGACATTCCATCTAATGAAGCATGACGGATTTCAAGTTGCATTTTGCTGTAACGTTTAACTTTTGTGTCATTCTTGACCAGTTACCTCGACTCACAGCGTACGCGAGTTCCCGTACACTGAAAACTACGGTAATTCACAGAAAGTACTGACGTCGAATGTAGTGATACCTATAGTGATACTTATAGACGAAGAGTGATTTTTGTATATGAACGTTAAACACTCGCATTCTCGTGGTAAACCAACCAAATTCGGCAGGAAGTTGTACGCCACAGAGACTTGGAACGTATAAAAAACATTGAAGAATAAAATGCAGCGCTGCTAGTCAACAGCTATGACATGATCTAAACTAACTATCGTAATCAAAGCATGCTGTCAATTAGCTTCGAAAAACACCATTACTTACCCAGTTTTCCCCAAGTCCACCTCTGATTGATTGATGAGATAGTTTTCAATGGGAAACCATTGATCATGGAAAAACTCAGATCATTAATTGCCAAGTTAATGATGAGAAGATTCGCTGGAGTGCGCAGTTGCTTGCATCTTAAGCGAGAAACAGTAAATTTGCCCATTTAAAAAATGACAGTTGATGCATATATGCAAAGTTGCTAAAGATAACTTGTGTGATTGCTGCTGAAACCATAAACAAACACCTTATCAATGTGTGTTCGGTCTCTGTGGAAACACTTTGAAATGGACGCACCTAAATTCATCACGTTGCTTCGTGATCTTCCATGGCCTCAGGTCACACTTGGTATCCCCATTAACTTTTTTTGCATAAGTAAAGAAAGAAGTGCTTTTGACCGGACTCGTCCACTTTTGCTTTCTGCGTACCCCCTAATTTCGTCACCGCTTTGCCCACTTGCTGTAAATGAATCGCTGACCCTTAATAGATTATGCACGATGACTTTCAATTTTCTTAATCTGAAGCAAGTTGTCAAGCTGCAGTCAAGCTAAGGTATGCTGTTGACCTGCATTCTTCTAGACAGTAGTGCTGGTTCTTTCATTCAAGTTTCACATGTGTTTCCACAGACTTTGCCGCGTGTATTCCCACAACGATTGTAATTTCTTTTCGTTGCCCAAGGCAACTCGGTAGATTGTGTTTATGTTCTGTAGCGGGAACAATTCAACAGCCGTTTGGAACACCAAATGACTCTACTTTAAAGAAGGAAAGCTGGAAATACACGAGATCATTTGTTCATCCGTAGTTGGAGTGAACGCGTTGAACAATGTCTCCACTTAGTGGAAGATAAAACGTGGGCGCAGGTCAAGCGCAAACACATACACACCAAGATCCTGTAAGCGTATAGTTTACAGGTCAAATTTTTATAACAATCTATTTTACGGTTTATTCGACGAGAATGTGAAATCAGTTCGGTCTCGTTAACCAAGCAAAATACCCTCTTGAGTATGGTGTATAATGAACACACAATTTCAGCGAACGATACCGCTAAGGACACAGCGGGTTAAACTGGTATGTCTGTTTTCAGAAGGGCACGGTAACACAGTTGGCATGTCTATTGTTTGAAACACATATGCGTGCTCATATCTCTCAGTTAGCAAAACCACCGTTAGCGTAGCACACAGCCAGGGTTACATGTCGCTCTGTTGTCCCATTGTGATGCTGATTTACTTTAGAATAATGCACGGCCTGAATCGAACTTGCTGCATTGCTCTATTGTCCTGCAAGTTTTGGCGGAGACAGAGCAAGACGTCCCTACAAATAGTAGCAGAAAGTATGCCTCAGTGAAATACCCCCTATTAGTCACACTGTGGCATATATAGCTTCAAAGTTTTGTGATCGCAAAATAACTTGTCATCCATTCGGATGATATAGCAATAGACGGGATGTTATTCCGGTTGACTAATTTTGACATCCGAATGAAGGTAACGAAACTATACGCGGAAAACAAACCGATAAACAATGATACCGCGCAATGTGGCAGCAGTTGAGAGCCCTGAGTATTTGCTATCGGATAGCTAGATAAAAGGGCGGAAACAAGAATTTCAAAATCAAGTTTCAGTAACGTATATCATTTTGCAGCTCACGAAGTGCGGTAATTGGGAACTACACTTTCGCCAGATATCACTGTTTCACCAAGCCGGCAGATTTGTCCCCCTAATACAATCTGATACACACCTCGGACTCGGCTTCATTAAATGTACTTTCAATTTGGTGGAAATTTAATTACTAAAAATATGAGTGATCCAAGAATCACTTAGTTGGCATTCTCGGGCCATGCGAAATTCTACCCAACAATCCACTCAGCCTTTTCCGTGCGATTGTTTGAACGGGGCACTGAAAGTTATTTATGGCTCGATTTTGATTTCCAGGTATGTTCACCTGTGGCCACATTGGTTTCCAGTCGTACAACTTTAAACAGCCAACAAGAAAAAAAATCAGCAAGCCTTCCGGAACCTCTGCATTGGTTTCAAAATCGCCTCAACATGAAAAAAAAAAATCAACAAGCCTTCCGGAACCTCTGCATTAGTTTCAAAATCGCCTCAACATGAACACTTTAAAAAACTCAAACTTGGTAGGCAAACTTACAGTGAAAATAACGTTATTACCAAAATATTTCCCAAGATTGCTGTGGTGCACATGATAGTGATAAATGCACCGACAAAGTAATGGTACAGCGGATCTGGTACCGGAAACTTGTGCCAGTACGGATGAACGATGGAGAAAAACTCCGGATCGTCAGGCCATAGCATCCCGATTGTCATGTTTCTCGGTAGCGCTTTGAGCATTCTGTCCATACAAGCAAAATCGGTTTACACACAGATGGAAAGTCTTGAGTGAATCTACAACAAACATATCAGTCTAGACCAAGTTCTACATGCGAATCCATAAAAAGTTGACCCACTATATTCAACATGTGGTAGGGATGCACTGCACGCTTGTTAAAAATTGTCCCTTCATTCAATGGTGAGATTGTAATTCATACGAAGCCCGAAAGAGACAAATAGTAGAAGCATCTGATCCAGAACTATGTAAATAAACCCGTCAAGTCACTCCGGTGTTATTCATTGCCATATACCCGTGAATTTGTCCTTCTCACGGTACAACCGGTTGTAAGCTTGCAGATAGAGAATAGGTTTAACAAATCAAAATGATTTCTGTGATAAATCCAAAAACGTTACGCTTTTATTTTTCATTCCAAAGCGGACCTTGCCTGGATGTTTTCGAAACATTTAACGTCATTTCAACAAAAATGCACCCCGAATTAGCAGAAGCACTCACGTCGTTTTTATTGTATGCTTTAATTTTTCGGAAATGTATTTTTCTTCAAAGGCCAAAGCAAACGTAAAAAGCTATTTAATAACAACAGGTCAAGAGACAAAGTTCTCTTAAATAACTTATTCTTGTGCTGTAAAGCCTCATTCGGCTAGAATGTAACTCGGTGACAGAGCCAAATTTTATCGTCTCTCACAAGGTGAAGAAGAACTGCGTAAAAACAAGCACGTTTGTAACGATATCTGAGTCAACGGTATTCATATTTTTATTCATATTATTTATTGCGAAGGACAAAACGCTACTCGAACAGAAATGAAGAGAAAGTATTTATTTTTGAACCAAAATATAAAACAGAAAAATGCATCACCAAGAACCACACTTTCTTTGATCGACCCCCATATCTGAACGTGTTTTTGATAATGAGTTTCCATTTTTACTGTAATAACAAATGGTACGCAATACCCAAAACACAATTACCCTACTGGTTTTCACCAGATATTTTGCGGGCTAGGTCAAAAATGTTATCCTTACCATTTCCTAATTAGTCTGAGTACGGGCTAAAGTCAGTCACAAAATAATTATTTCCGTTGGGTCCTCTACAAGAAATTTCGTAAACTTGAATACCATCAACGGGTATTTGAGATTAGTGATGAAGTTCTTGCATAAAATACACCATGACGTTAGTATTAATGTTTCAGTTCTACTCAGTGACCGTGTTGGCCACCGAGGCATCGCGTGGCGTGCCCAAGGAATACATTTGTGTGATTTAGTCATAGTTCTTTCTGTAAAATCTAAAAACTTCTGAAACCCCTATCCCACATACCGTGTTTACCCTGATCAATCCACTTGGGATCATTTAGGAATGAATTTTCCAAAGCTTCTGTTTGCTCTCTACTATGATTTTCTACTAAGGGATCCAAAAATAACAAGCAGTGGTGAAACACATTCGTTCAGTCGACAAATCTGAAAAAAATTGAGGGGAAGCATTATGGTGAAATTCCGAAATTCATACACCTGTATATTGATGAGTATCACCCGGAGACCTTCTGTGCTAGCATGGTTAAAATAATGTATTTAAAGTTGCCTTTTTCACGTCAGCGGAAAACCAAAGACTATCTCGAATTTCTACTAGCTCAGTTGAAAAACATGTAACCTTCATGCTCTGTTAACAGTTGGCAAAAACTGTCCCCACGCAAAATATGAACTGGATAATATGCTCTAGTGCAAAAGCCAACTCGTGACATTACTATATGACATTGGGAGTTTTATTTGCCAAGAAGAAACCAATATTATAAAGTGACAATATAGTATAATTCTGGAAAATCAAACTTAATCGATAATAGCTTAGACAACATTTTTTCAGTGCGAACTTTTTCATCGTGTACAGGTGTAACAACTGTTGACTAGAAACTTTTGCCTGAGCTTCAGATCGGCTCTACATTCCACAAACATTAACCTCTGCGTGGGAGTTCAGATGTAGGAAAACAAGATATCTATATTCCACCAGGAGGTGGCCTTTTCTCAGTTGACTCTCATTTGGATATATATATATATGAATATATATACTGTACTGTACTACAATACGATAAAATGCAACAATATTAAATGGTCCAAAGGGGAAACCATTCAGGGAATGACTTTTAAGAACCCACTTAATGACAGAATCAACCAAGAGAACTTACGGAGTTCAAGTGAGTCACCTGAATAATTGCTGAATATGTTTCTTGGCGAGAATAGGGCTTTTCCATCTAGATGTAGCTATTTCAGAGTTGCAATCCTTAAGCGCAGAGAGCAGAAACGTAAATATATTTTGCCATTTCTCCGAGATTTATCAATAAGGCTATCTAACAAGCTGTCTTCAGCAAATGGATCCTTGTTGTTCGCGCTTGAAATCTTTTTAAGATTACGAAAAAGTATCTCGCATGGCAGCAAAGACTTATTTCAATGGTACATGCCTTGTTTTGAAATAATCACCAGTTATCATTCCAAAAAACATTTAGCTCTGCATTTACTCAGTAAAACGTACCTCTTCAAAGGTTTCACACTTTGAACAAAACAAAGTTGATGCTACGTGGGTTGTAGTTAGAACAAATGGTGTGAATACACAACTTCTGAGTGCTTATATGAGGATCATAGAAATGGGAGATGGGCAAGTAATTGTATGTAATCAAATACCCTATTTTCGCAGATTAGGACGAAGTAAGCCGACAATAATGGCGTTCGAATTCGCGCACAGTGATCATGTGGAAAAAACCTGATGATACGCAGTTTTATGTCAGGATTATCTGAGTTTGTGTAACTCCCGATACGTGTTCCACGTGCTTGTGCTCCGCTGAGTAGCCAGCAATCGGAACTTGACTGCACAATAGCTCGATCAACAATTCATAGTTCCTGAGATCGAATCCTTCCGTTTTCATCCTTAGCTCTCACAAAAACAAATGGGTCCGGGGTGGTACTTTCATCACCTTTCTTGGCGTAATGATCATTCATTTGGGATAATATAAAAATTCCTTCATAAGTGATGCCTCTAACAAGCGAAATATTTAATCTAAAAAGCACTCCTTGCACAAAGTTTGTTAGTTATAGATATATTAGATTGCTGTTTTGGGATAGCTAGAAATGTATGCTTAAAACCGTATACCTGGACCCATCTGGAACAGTTCCATCTTCGCATCAAAACTCGGAGATGGCACGCTCCATAACACTGTTTAAGTTTTATAAAGCTAGATTTGTTTTATGCATCTTCCTATTTTTTTAAACCTGTGCTGCAATTTTGCTGAACTCATCCACTTTGTACTGTTGGCCAGTTGGCCAGTTGTAAGGTTGGGTGTTCACTTTGTGAGTGAGTGAAATCCTCCTTATTTAATCCCACTTTTCGTAGGACAAAAACATTTATTCACGGATTTGTAAAAATGATTCTGAAAACAGTCCATTGAATGTGGGTGGTATCAAAGTGTAGTCACTGCAAAAGTCGAGATGGATAAAAGGTGTCTGCTCAAATAGGGCGTGTACGTATTCCAAAAATAGTTCCACTGCGCTGGCCCACTGCACAACATGGGAAGATTCGGTCTCCATTACTAGTCAGTTTACAGTTCAGTTGTTTTTTTTAAATTTGGCGTACATTCGTTTTTCTGGGCGGATTGTGATGAAGTTATTATGCGCACAGCGAAACGTGTGGGACATTTGATTGACTGACTGACCACTAATCCCACTTAAGGCGCTCTGGAGCTCACGTGGCGAGCATGTATTCGGATTTGTCCTACTCTTTCATGTTTTGTAAGCACCTCTGTCTCCTAATCCCTCACAACAAATCACTGAAAAGTACTGTTTTTTCTGAGAATTTCCTAGGTGCCCCTAATTGATGGTATAAGTTCTCTTTTGTCCTGTAAATATAAGTTAAACTTGAACAGTGAATTATTACTGTATTGTAGATTTGTGTCTGATGACTAAAAATCAACAATATGTTTCTTTGGCACAATACCGCGGGCCATGTAGCTTGAAGAAATACGGTGGGTGACATTCATGCGTAGAAGCAGTCCACGTTGACAAGCCTACAAAAATTTTAAGGTGTCATTTATTTTGATTTTTGATTATCTGTGTGGTTTGCAGGTCCATCAGTAATTTCTCTATAATGATCTGCTTGATTAAGGCCGGGCACCCCGTCATTCTCAAAGGGTGACGCAACAATTCGTTGAAAATGTTTGCAGGAGTGGATCCATCATGTAAGGTTTTCATTGCAGTTTCATAGCGTTGCACACCAACTCTTTAAGTAGTTTCATTATTAGGGTTGAACAGATTGTGAACACTCGGTCTTCCAGACTATTCACATCAAATCCTGAACTCGTCAGAATGTTACCTAGGTGTACAAACTACGGACATTTAGTGATCCCGAGGCAATGAGTTACAAGAAAAACGGTTCAATTGCAACAATCGCCGGAGCAATCAAACGCATTTATTGTTTTTACTTGATATTAGATTTGCACGTCAATACTTCGTGCAATCTTTCGTTCAGGCGAGCAATGACTCAGTAAAGTCAATTATTCTTGAGCATAATCCCAGAAGCTAATAACTTCGAAGATTCTCCCGTGGCACAAAGATCAAAGAATCTAGATGCATTATTGTTTCAAAACAGATAACAGCGTAACGAATGAAATGGATTAATCTGTAGGAAATTACCTTGGGAGTATCCCTGTGATCCGGTTGTTCCTCAGTGGCAAGCAATCATGTGGCGAATCATGGTAGTTTGCATCGATCACGTCCATGTGGAGTCACACTTCACCCAAAAAATTGTGCTTGTAAAGACGGAACATTCGACTGACTCCAGACATGAAACATTTCAGCGAATGTAAACCATCCCATCAGAGTGGGACTTCATGGAATGGTTAGTCGAAGTCCGCAGACAGCCTACTATCAGGTTTGTTTCGTCCAGGGCTCATCATCCTGTGAGCCTGGAAAATCAGTTCCGGAAGTAAACAACGGAATAAATAGTTTTAGGTTCACTTAGTTGCCTAAA